GTCTATCTGCCACGCCTCAAGTCGAGTAGCAGGGTTTGTTCTGTAGATGGGAAAATAATTTTGAGTGATAATCAGTAATGACAATAATTTATGATAATGATGGCAAAAGTAGTTGTAATGATTAGAAATGAGTACAGTCCAGTGTTTTTTATAATCTCATTAAGTAATATCTTACCTAGTGTAATAGATCCATATTTGTTGACTATCAATCAGTAGATACATGATATTAAACTCCCTGCTGTATGTGACTGATTGAACTTTGTTTAATGCTGATATTGATGGTGGTGGTAGGACAGTGCTCAGACTTTTACTTCCCTTGGAAATCAGACGGACACTGCAACAAGTATTCAAGCATTAATTAATTAAATTTTGTCAATCAATCAATAAGTGAGTCAATCAATCATCCAATCATCCAATCAATCAACCAATCAATCAGTCATTTAATCAATCAATCAGTCAATCAATCAATCAATCAATTAATCATCCAATCATCCAATCAATCAGCCAATCAATCAATCATTTAATCAATCAATCAGTCATACAATCAATCAATCAGTCAACCAACCAATCAATCAATCAATCAATCAATCAATCAATCAATCAATCAATCAATCAATCAATGATTCATTCATTCATAAGGGAAGAGGTGGTGGGTGCTAATAGTCGACTTTAGATATTTTGGTTCAGTGACCATGCACAAAAGAATTGCAGACGAGGCTCCGGGGAAATAAAAGAATAAATCATGATTATCCATTGTTTCCCTGGAGTCTCGTGTGCGTTCTTTTATACATAGTCATCGAACCAAAATATCTAAAGTTGGCTATTGTCCTACATTGCAGTACAGGTGCTAAATTGCAAAAGACGTAGCTAGACACGCTCTCATTCATTTATTCAACATTAAATCAATCAATCAATCAATTGATTGATAAAATTTTCATAACTGCAGCATGCAAGACTTAGTAGAGAGTAGAGAGTATGCATGCTTCTATACCTGCTGTCGTTTCCCACTGCCATTATCCTTGAAGACTTCCCTGGTGATGCCACAAGGGACAAAGACTGAACAGAACATCGAGAYAATGCCCAGAAATCAACAACATGGTTAAGAGAGAAGACTTCAATTTGTCTATTTGAACAGCAGTACATGACTTTTGAAGAAACACAATCCAGCCAGTTGATTCCCTCATGAAACACWGGAAGACTGGAAGAGAATAATAATTATCTCAGCTTAAGGACACACAAATAGGATTGGAGTGTAATAACAAGACAAACTATTGATAAATGCACATTTTTTTTATTATGTTTACCTGTATATCTCCTCCATGATGTCYAGTGAATATACTTTTATCATTCCATCCATGGAAGCACTGATRACTACTCCTGATGCTTCAGGATGAATCATAATCTTGGTGATGACCTGACAACACAACCAACCTATTTAACACAATACAGGCAAGACCTTTCTCTTCTACATTGATGCCATCCTCTCTCTGAACCTTATTTACACTATAGACCAGCTACATGAATTACCTTTGTATGACAACTGAAAGTGTGTATTAGACCACCACTTCGACTCCAAACATTAACTAGAAGAAACAAAAAATTATTATAATAAACATGAATATGAGGGCAGATCGGGATGACTGTACAAAGGCACAGATCACACAATTGACACCATACTGAAAACATTAAATTGAGAACATATCATGTCTACAGAGTTAAACAACAGCTACACTATCACACAGTCACAGCACAAAATAAGTACTTTTAATCGTGATTTTTAAAGACTCATTTGAAATGACTGCTTATAAGAAATGCATGACTGTATGAATTTTGATCCATACAATTGAGCAAGAAATCAACACATGCAGTTCTGCATAGCYTGGGAAGCAATGGTACTTACCGTCACAGTCATTGCCAGAAGTTATCAGCAGGTTACAAGATATTGAGTACACACAGCCTGTGACTGGTCCTCTATGTGCACTGACGACACAAACATAAAAGATAAAATAGAAGATATGAATAAGCAATATTGAAGAGCCTTAAATCAAGGATCGGAGTGGGTGAGATGAAGGGAAAGGATAAAAACAGAAARTGAAAAGAAATGGGTAGAAAAGGGAGAAGGATTGGAAGGCAGGGGAGGGAGAGTAGATAAAAAAAGGAGGAATTGAAAGGATCACAGGAGAAAGGGATAAAATGAGTTGACGAAAAGCTAGTAAACAGGGAAAAAACTTACTTTTTGACCTGAAATAACTCATTGCCCATCATGTCATAGGCAACAACATTCCTTTCTGATAAGCAATACAACCTCTGAAACAACAAAATAATAACTTTTAGTACAATTCATTAAAATTGATAACACACCGGTAGTCTAGTAATAAACTATTGCTACAATACCTGCATTGCAACATCTAGTTCAACATGTTTGACCCAACTTCCACCCATCTCTGGATATGCTGCCCTAAAACACAATTTAATACAAGCACAGGTCAATGAATTATGAAAACTCCTTGACTTACTTGGTTACTGTACTAACTATGATTAAATACTATTATTATAATACCTTAAAACAAGTCCATAGTTTGCCATAGGTCTTGAATCACTGCTCCATGATTTCCTCTTGTCTCTGGACAGCTCACCAAACCTCCAAAACTTAATGCACAAATAATATTACAAGTTTTACTCCAGAACAATTAGCGTTATTTTAAACGTTAATGATTAAACATTATTATGATTTATACAAAKATTATCAACCACACTCTTTCCTGGTACAGATATAGATTAAGCTGATGTCAGGTTCTTGTTGGAAATGCCTTGTGATTTAGGTTAATTCCAGGAAGCATTCCTTATACCTTCATTCCTCCAGTTCCACCCGTGATAAGTTCATCTTTTCCAGGATTGAAGACCATACACAGCACTGAATGCATCTCAGCAGAAACAGAAATCACTTCATGGAAATTAAGATTGAACACCTTGAAACCAATGAAAATTTATTTTAACTTGTTGTTTTGTGCCATTGATATGTTTTGACATTGAATGATATTAATTCTTGTTATATGAGTATAGCATCATACCTTCAATGCATAGTCCTTTGACAAAGCAAAATAAACATTGAACTTTCTTGAGAAGATTATCATTCTCAATACATTAAATTGGTAAGCAGGGTAGTTGAGGTGTCTAGTAACTGGAAAGAATAAATAAATGTCAGCTTAACAATGTAGTTGTAGACTTTTGGCTTTGTCACTTTACATGTAAATGACAGGAGGTATGTTGTAAAATTATATAGGATTGAGTAGAGTTTAATTACAAGGTAATTATTACTGTTAAATATATCTTACCTGTGCTGTAAACACTTTCATGAGACCAACTTGTAATTCCTCTAGAATCCAAGATGACAAATTGTCTAAATCTAAAATTGTAGGTGACTGAAAACAAACAGGACARTTATTTAGATCTTTAGTTTAAAACTGTGACAAATGCACATTGACTCATGCACGCAAATATATGTTTTATATATCAGGTTGYATTCWTGATTTACCTCCGCCWATTTCACAGTTCTTTGAAGCATGTTTATAACATCCCAAACTTTGAAATCCATAAGGAATGTGGAAATATGAGCCTTTTGCTCTGTCAAATTCATCATCATCATCACTCAAAGATGGAGTAATATCACTCTCATGATCTTGACTCTTATCATCATCACTGCCATCAGTGTAAGAACTGAGTTTATGTTGTTCATCCATGGATACCTCATGCAATAAACCATACTTAGACTCTTCTGAAATACCGTTCATGACAACATCTTCGTCTCCTTTGTCCATGGCTCTTTACATATGCTGGAATTTATGTAATAAGATATAAGTTAAACTGTTGAATATTTCAAAAAGCCCGCCAAAATGTRAATATTATTATTCGTAACTCTTTGCTAAACTTACCAGCACTTTATCTAACGGCATAATCTTTAAGAATCAAGATTTTGGATAGGAAACGCCAGTGAGGAAGTAGGATTTTAAGCCAAATGTGTTCCAGTGTGAAGCGAATGTCCTCGAAAAGAGAGTTGTCCAAACGGCAGCTAGTCCTTTCAACATATTCAGTAAAGATTGTTGTCTTTAGGCAAGCCTACAATCTGTGGTGGCCATACTTCGTAGAAATCTTGCATGAATTAATCGAAATAGACAATTGCAAAGTCCAGGATCATGTCAGMAGATTGGGTTCTTCATCGAACGGCGAAGGCACATTCTTCGTTCAAATAAGCTAAACTATAACTCATTATTAACCAATTTAAATCGATCAAAAGTATATATTGATCAACACCTTACTTGAATCTACCAATTATGAGATATTTCCTCCAAATAAATAACAATAACTTTTGATTTGACAATATGTCCACAGCTTCAACGTGTGCGTGAAGTCTGGAGTCCACTTGTTGCTATGTGCGAAAAATTCCCCCAGCCCCTCCCCCTGAGTATATGCTAGTCTCTAACTTTATCTGTTCACCAAAAAAACAACTACAAAAAGATAGCCCAAATCAGTTTAATACAATTTCCAATCTTACTGTTCAATGTAGAGGAATACACTATAAATAATCTATTAATGCAATAAAAAAATTCATAAGAATATTATCAAAATGGTTTCATTCGTGGCTGTAATTCTAAATTACTATAACTTATATTAACTTTGATTGTCAGTGTCAATTTCAGCAAGTTAGATGGTAGACCAAATATCCAAAACCAGCCAGAGCTGCCACAGATCTMACACTTAAAAGCCTTCGTAGTTTGTTGACCTTCTCTCTAACCTCCTTTTCTTCCATCTCGTCTTTCGCTCCAGGTTTAACCAAGGGCTGACAAGCAGGTTTGATGGCGAATTTATTGAAAGGCATTGTAGCAAGCATGATAGATCCAGCCACGAGAAAAGGGAAATGCTTTTCCTTGTTCATGAAATAAAGCGATACACCAGATAGACCAGTAGCTACTGTCAGTCCAAACTGCATTCGGGCATGATGACGATGCTCGAGACGAAGAATCTTYAACACACAGCCATAGGTATGTTCGTCCAGTGCAGGGAATTCAACAGAGAGGACGTAGAAAGCAGCTCCAACAAACGCTCCATTGGCTGCCACACAGATTGACTTTAAGACTGGAGTAAGCTTTTCCAAATCCATCGAGAAATATTACACTTTTTCACAACCTGACGAATGTTTCTTTCATTCACTTTTCAGTGGACGGTAGAGACTGGGAACTAACCGCCTACCGCTGACTATTTTAACACAGGAAGCCCAACAATTGCCTGATCTTCTAATTTTGGAAGACCGMGTGGATAATTTGCGCTCTCTGCACTATGAACGCTGGCGGCTAGCGTGAATAAGAACTATCACAAAGACGTTATGCAAAATAAAGTTTATTACAAATTTGATAAGATCAGAAACTCATATGAGTTTCTGATAAGATCTATATATGTCGATTTTCAACAATTTCAATTTTATTAAACTTCTATTGAACATTATTTGTGCCAAGTTCTGCATCAAACGATGTACATTTTAAAACATCATGACGTCATCATCRTCATCCGATTCGAAGTCATCATGATCTGACATCATTATCTCTACGTCATCAGCGTCATCATCATCGTCATCATCGTCGTCRTCRTCATCTTCRTCATCGTCGTCRTCATCATCCTCTTCATCCCCTTCCTCTTCTGAATCCTGATGGGAAAAGGAATAACTTTGTAAGTCATTCTATTATATTATATTTGG